TGGATTCTAGATTGGGCTTAATAGCCGTGAGAGTAGAGATAGATGGATAGATAGATAGATAGATGGGGGGTGGGTGTAATGTCCCCTATTATAATCTATTTCTCTGTTGTGTACTGCTATTTCATGTAATTAGACAAGTGGATTATAATGGGGAATATTACACTGTAATGTTCCCTATTATAATCTATTTCTCTGTTGTGTACTGCTATTTCATGTAATTAGACAAGTGGATTATAATGGGGAATATTACACTGTAATGTTCCCTATTATAATCTATTTCTCTGATTAAATGATTACAGACAAGCCTCTGTTCTATCAAAGTTTGAGACTATGTTAGAATGTGTGACCAGTGACGTGGTCACACATTTTCACGTAATCTCGCCCAGTTTTTCAGGCGGTTTAAAGGTGTGTTGGTGTGCTGTGGATCCACGATTTGGGCGGTACATTGGTGTAGGGGGATAGAAATATCCGGTTATTCAGCGGCTCCTTCGGGGGTGAGCGCTACACATTATTTGCACTGATGGAACTAATGGAGAGATTGTGGAATTGACACAGAGACACATTTATACTTTTCGCCTATTGGCTAGCTACCTTGTGCCATTCCCATCCCCAACACACAGCATACAGCACCAGAGGTAATTTTCCCTAGACTTATTAACACAATAGGAAGAACGTAATCACATTTACCGAAGTTGAACCAAAATAACAATCACAACCAACAACATGTCCACAGAGACACCGTCCATCCAAAGCAACACACTTTAGCTAGGGCTATCTTTTAGTGCCTATTCACAGTAGTAGGGCTCATTCACATACAGTAATGTGTCATGTGTTAGCGGACTGTGCTGTCATTCATTGTGAAGCCCACCACAATGTGGGGTAACACACTACCGTTCACTTCAATGCACTGCACTCCCCAAACTTGGTGGATGCTGGATTTTCAGTCCAGTGTGGTGTATTGGATGTCCATTTAAGCTTGCATTAAAAGTAAATGCACCACAGTGGACCACCCTATTGTTAAACTTTTATTTCAATCAGGTGGAAAGGCATAGGTCAGTTAAAAGGTCAGACCTTAAATATTGACTAAAAGTGAGAAAATGATTACCAAGAGCGCAGACTGTCATGTACACACCCTTTGGGGCTGCATAACCAAGTTAAGTGAAAATGTGCTTTAACTGTAAAGGCAGTTTACTTGATATGGATGTTCTTAACAGTGGGGCCCCATGATTTCTAATGGCAGTACAGCTGTCACTTCTCCGAACCTCTTCTGTGGATGTGTCAGTGTCAGTTAGTAACGCAGTATAGTCAGTAACGCAGTTATGCAGGTGAAAGGAGGAGCTCCTGAGAACAGAGCTTCTTGGAAGGGGGTTATGCCTGGTATATGCATGATCCCTTTCTGATTTTATTAAAATACTCATAGCTGTCTCTTGATTTTAATTGGAAGTTGTGAAAAAGTTGGAAGTTTGAGTTGGAAGTTGTTGATTTAGATGTGGCCCTCAAAGGAAATTGTGGATACAAAAGTGGCCTCTGGGGCCTTTTAAGTTGCACACTACTGATCACTATCGTTATTATTATTATTATTATTCCTTTTGTAAAAAAGGAGCTAATGAGGACAGAATAATTAGCTGTAAAAGTTAAAGTATATGTAAACCCAATCAATAAAAAAAATCTCATAAGGTTTTAAAGCTACAGTGTATGTCAAGCCAAAAAGTGTATTTTTTTGGTTTTGTTTTAGATTGACTAAAGAAGGGTTACAACCCCTGTTAGATTTGTACTGCTGTAGGAGATTCAGAGATTTTCGCTCATGTTTTTCCCTGCTGACAATGGGTTTTACCAGATAGGAAGTGAGGCACAGACAGCTATAATATTTATCAGGGGTTTTAGCCCTCCCCATCTCTGTTAAAAAACTGGAGCAGACAAAATCTGGAGCAGTTGCCATAGTAACTTATTAGCTTCTATCTTTCATTTTCAAAACAACTGAACAAAGTGAAGAGAAGCTGATTGGTTACTATGAGCAAATCCTTCAGATTCTGTCTACTCCAGTTGTGATAAAATGCCCCTATTGCATGTGAAGATCAATGACAATATTTTACTAGCTGACACTGTCGGTGAGAGATGTCGCCAACAGTATTTTGCCAAGGGACTCCAAGATCTGCATTTAGGGCCAGGGTGGCCTAAGGGATACAGAGAAATGCACAGAATAGCTTCCAGAGCTATCCGGATACATCAAAAGTAATATTTTTATAGTAGCCTTAGATGCGGGTTCCCTGTTGCTATTGTAGACAGCTAATTGTATGTGCAGATACTACTATGTTTATTATTGCCTGTTACCATTAAAGAAGAACTCTGGGCATATACATTCTTAACACTTGCAGTGGAGCTACCCCCCACACTGCAAGTGCTCATTTTGTCTAGGGAGCTAAAATAACAAAAATACTCACTCGGACCAAGCTGGCTGCTAGATCGTATCATGCAGTCTTTCTTCCCCCTCTGCTACAGTAATGGAATGTTCCTCGGCATCCTCACGTCCAAGACATTGTATTAGCATGATGACTCACAGGTTCTTGGACCGCTGGCACGGAGGGAAAGAGAGTCTGCAGGGACCAGTCTATCAGCCTGCCGGCTCTGAGTTTAGGTGAGTATATGATTGTTATTTTAGCTCCCTAGACAAAAGGAGCACTTAACCCTTGCAGTGGTGGGGTAGCCCCACTAAATGGGTTAAGATTCATATGCCCGGAGTTCTTCTTTAACATACTGAGAGGTTTACTTTGAAGCTAAAACAGGTAAAACAAATATTGTTTAAATACAAGACATGTTTATTATTATTTGGACCTTGGTGTGCTTTGTGGTGAGAGGTGAGCCTCTGTAGTGAAAGGAGCATTTGGGACCCACCCATGGTGAACAACTTTGTGAAAGAGATTTGTAGCACTTTATGGCCGTTAGATGAGCCAAGGGGCATATGAATTTACCATGTTCCTTAGCTCCCTCTAGTGGCCATAATGTGCTGCAAATCATGTTTACAGATCTGTTCTCTGTGTAAAAGATTTATAAATAGACCCCTTAGTAATGGTATCTCACAACACTTTACCACTAGACTGCTGCACATAATCAACATAAACATCAATTAATTTTTCTTCTTTTCTAAACGAATTATAAATTGTGAAGCGTTTCCATTTAAGAGTTGAGGACCTATAAGTGTCCTAATCTTTGATACAAGAAGTGATTCACATAATGGCTTTTCTTTCTAATCTGCCCTACTAAAGTAACAAATAGACATTTTTTGGTTGTAATGATTAACACAAATAATTTTTACGCCTCCCGCCTTTGAGATCTCATTACTGCTGATCAGAGTTTGCTGACTGCTAAGTGGACAGCAGATATAAATATTTGTAGATTTTTGTAAATGCACTCATCATAAAAGATTGTAGCGAAAACATATTTTATGGTTGCAACTGCTATTTAAGGTAACTTCTGCATTCCTTAAAAGAAAATCATTGTTTGCATTCACATGTTAGGTCTGATCTGAGGTCAGACCTAACAGCCATCATAAAGCATCATTACATGTGAATGAGCAAGCCATAATAACTTTTTTTAATTCAGCTCTGATAAAGGTAAAGTCAAACAGGAATATTCGCAAAAGAGCGAAGGGTTTGGAAAAGGCAGGAGAAGTGAACAATCTAGGCTCTTTAATTAGGTAAATTAGGCGGTCGTCTATGGCCTCGCACTTCCAAGGGCCTCCTGGCCACCTAATTTGCCCTGCCAGCGTATTACCGAGCTCTCAGCCCTGTTGCTGTCAAACTGAGAGCTCATCCGTTTCATCGGTCCATCCACTCAGGTCGGCCTTCTGGAGCTCGAACCAGTCAATGGGAAGATATGTCACCCCTCCCATCCACCGCAGGAGGATCTAAATCTGGCTGGGAGTTTAGCATCGGAGGCAGATTGAGACGTTGGCATCTGGTCCTGCATGCACCCGCCCGTGAGACGCGGCCTGCACAGCACTAGTGAGACCCAGTCCCGGCCCACAAAGCATAGGTGAGATGCGGCCTGCGCAGCCATGGTAAGACTCCATAGTGCCCTGTTTAACCAGGGCTCTGTGGGGGTCTAACGAGCCTTGGTGAGACCCACAATGCCCTGCTGTCTTGGCCTGGTGAGACCCAGAGCCCTGGTTTAACCAGGGCTCTGTGTGGTTTCACCGTGCCGTTTTTTTTTTATATCTCTCATTTTTATCGCTTGCATTTTTTTTCCATTATGGGCCTGTGTGGGGCCTCATGTTTAAGTTTCACCTTAGGCCTCGCAAACTTTCGTCTTTGTAGGACAACATAGCTGATGTTGAAAAATGTTTCAATTCTGAAGGCAGTTTAGCCCTGATCGTGGCCACATTTTGTAGTCGATTTAATTAGAATTAGTATGCAGCCAAAGAAGTCTGCAATCTCTGAACATCCATCTGGAATGCTTGTTTCAGATCATGATGATAGCCACAGACCTTGAAAACAATAAACTCAATAATGGCAGCTTCCATATTTATATCCTTACAGGTTCCTATTTATGTAAACTTGCACTGAGCAATCTATGTTGCATGCCATTGCTATGCCAACTTTCTTGCTATTTTCATCATCTAGTGGCTTCAATGTTTTGAGTCACTGATGCTGAATCTACAAATCAGGAGTTTTGAAGGAACCCTTACATGACCTACTTAATGTTTGTCCAGGTTATAGAATGGTTGAAAACCGACAATGAAGCAACTATTTTAGTGTGCAGTGGTCAATTACATATTTCTGTTAACACAGATTAACTTTAAAATTAACCTGCTGAGATATAAATATGGGAGCTGCCATCACTGACTTATTTTTAAAAGTGCAAGTTTAGTGGCTATCATTGCCTACACTGCTTAATTAATCACTGACCTGGCACAAGTGAATTTATATCAAGTTTCTAACTTGGCTTCATGCTTAATCTGGGTCACTGAGTCACAAAATAGTGCAGTAATTAAATATCATAGTATGGTACACATTGTCAAGAATGGTAAGTAAGCAGCATTGAATTGAATGATTGCCATACATGTTTTTATAACCATTATAATTGTAGAAAATACTTTTGTCTCTACCCGGGTATATGCATACTGAGACTGCCGAACTTATCATATTATTCTGAAGCTGGTTGATGCCTTTAAAGACCTAGTGGAGGATGCCATGGCACTGCTAATTACAGTCCAATATGCTGTTTACGCAGAGTGATAATTCCCATTAATGTAGATGGATGCTGGGTAAAGCATTCTTATAAGGATAAGGGTCTGGTATGAATTTTAGAGAGGAAACCCTCCCCATTTATTTATTTTTTGCTTGCTCCCGAACTTGTTATTTAAAGAAATTGTGTCCCGCTACCCACTAAACAGTGTTTTTTTTGTGGGGGGGGAGGGGGTTTGCATTAGTACATGCCCCAATTACAGTGCCCAGCTGCCCTTTTTTAACAAAATCTTGCAAATTATAAGGTTCAGCTCTCATAGACATCAACAAGGCCCGGACGTTATGTTCGGGGTTCACAGATTTTTTTCAAGTGTTCAGCAGTACTCCAGAAAACCGAATTTTGCTTGATTTGCTCATCTCTACTAGAGACAAAACAGAAGATGATGAACAAGTAAACATATCAAGTGCAATAAACTAGATATTCTAAGACACTGTTCCCAGAATAAAGTAATTCTCATCTGCAAGTTAGTTATGTCGGTAGGGTTACATAGTATTTGAGGTTGAATAAAGACACAGGTCCTTCAAGTTCAACCTATTGTGTGTATGTATGCGATTGTGTATGCGTGTGTACTGGTCCCCGTGTGATCTTGTTTTTAAGACTACCTGTACCCCTGTATGGTATGGTCTCTGAGGAAGGTGTCTAAATGATTTTTGAATGATTCAACACTCTTGGCTGATACGACTAATTGTTTATTGCTGATGTTGCCATTACCACTGAACATCTTGTACATCAAAATCATGTCCCCTCTAAATCGACTCACTTCTAGCGCGAACATGTTTAAATTTAGTAACCTTGTCTCATAACTTTGGTCCTCCATCCCCTTAATTAGTTTAGTTGCCCTTCTGTGCACTCTCTCCAGCTCAAGGACATCCTTTCTGTGGATTGGTGACCAAAACTGGACTGCTTACTCCAGATGAGGCCGAACTAGTGATCTATAAAGTGGCATAAATATAGCTTTGTCTCTACAGTACATTCCTTTTTAATACAAGACAGTATTCTGCTCGCTTTGTTTGCCGCAGCCTGGCATTGCAAGCTATTGTTCAATTTGTGGTCTACTATAACCCCCAAATATTTTTCCATTTCTGACTTCCCTAGTGGAGTTCCCATTAATGTGTATTCCTCTTGCCTATTTTGAACCCCAAAGTGCATTACTTTTCATTTATCGACATTAAACCTCATCTGCCATAAAGTTGCCCACTCCCCTATTTTATCCAGGTCCTCCTGTAGTGTTATAATGTCTAAGCCCAAGTCTATTACCCTCCTGATTTTAGTATCATCAGCAAACACAGAAACATGGCTATTGATGCCCTCCCCCATATTGTTAATAAACAGATTAAACTATATGGGGCCTAGCACAGAACCCTGGGGCAGGCCACTCATGACCCTAGACCAATATGAAAAAATGTATCAATACTGTCTGGACACGTTCCTGTAGCCAGTTCTCTATCCATGTGCACAACATTTGATCTATGAACATAGAGCTCAGCTTGTGTATTAAGTGTTTATGTGGTACTGTGCCAAACGCTTTTGAAAAATCCAGATATATCACATCCAGCGGGCTCCCTCCATCCAGATCTCTACTCACCTCATGGTAGAATGAACTTATTTCCAACCATGCTGATTATCATTTATTATACCATTGTCACGAACAAACTCCACTAAATAGTCCTTTATCATTCCCGCTAACAGTTTGCATACTATTGATGTTAGACTGACCGGTCTGTAGTTCCCAGGTTGTCATCTTGACCCTTTTTTGAATATCGGTACTACCGTAGCTTTCCGCCAGTCACTTGGTACCTTACCAGTCATTATGGAGTGCTTGAAAATAAAGGCATTACGGTCTCGCTATAACCTGGCTAAGTTCAAGTACCTTGGGGTGCAGGTTATCTGATCCTAATGCTTTATTTGCATTACATTTTTCAAGTCTTTGTTGAACCCCGGCTACTGTCAACCACTGTGGTATCTTTTGCACTGAGCTACTCACATTCTTATCTACATTAAGCACGTCTTTTTCCAGAGTGTATACTGATGAGAAAAAATAATTCAACACCTCGGCCCTCTCCCTGTTGTTTATGATTAATCTCCCGTTCTCATCTTTTATTGTGCCTATCTGCTCTTTTATTACCCTTTTACTGTTTATATATTGGTAGAATTTTTTGGGGTTCATCTTACTGACTGTGTCTATATGCTTTTTATACTCTATTTTAGCTGCCTGGATCTCATGTTTACATCTCTTATTACATTCCTTGTAGTTCCAGAATGGCAATGCAGTCCCTTCCATCTTATATTTTTTAAATGCAATGCTCTTGTCTTTTATGTGTTTTTTTATTTAGCCATGCAGGCTTAGTTCTTGATCTTTTATTTTTGTTACCCAATGGTATGCACTTAGTAATGGCATTATGTTATGTATTCTTAAAACAATCCCACTTCTCGTCAGTGTTCAGTATTATAAATAAGTTGTCTAATTTGGTGTCGCCTACTAGGTGGCGCAGCTTATCAAAGTTTGCCTTTCTGAAGTGCAGTGTTCTTTTCAGACCAACATACTTCTCTTTTCTGTACCCAATATTAAAAGTAATCGCCTTGTGATCACTATTACCCAATGTCACCCTAATCGCTATGTCTGCAACTGTGTCCGCATTATTGGAAATTATTAAATCTAGTATAGCATTCTTCCTAGTTGAACCTTTAACCATCTGATTCATGAAATTGTCCCGCAACAGGTTCAGAAAACGGCCAGCCTTTATCGAATGAGAGGTTCCATTTGACCAATCAATGTCCAGATAGTTAAAGTCACCCACTACAACAACATTTCCCACTTTCCCAGCTATTTCTATTTGGGAATGTAGGTGAGCCTCCTCCTCTTCCCCATTTTCAGGGGTTTACAACACAACCCCACAATTATTTTACGACTAGCATCAGTCTTATCTAGTTCTAGCAACAAGGAGTCTACACCATCACGACTCTCTGTCATGAGGTCCTCTCGTATATGCACAGTTAGATTTTTTTTTACATATATGCATACCCCCCCTTCTACCAACCCTGTCCCTTCTGAACAGGCTATATCCTTGTAAATTGGTAGCCCTGTCATGTGTGCTGTCTAGCCAAATTTCTGTTATTCCCACTATATTGAAGTCCTCCTCGAGTAGCATAACTTCGAGCTCCTCTAATTTGTTTGCTAGACATCTAGCAATAGTGTACAGACATTTTAGTTTGGTGCTAGTTTGGGTTACCTTATTACTCATTTCTGGCGCCCCAATACTTTTTTTAATTAAACCTTGGTATGGTTGATACATTACTAATTAGATTTACCGGAATTATTAGATTAACTATATTGACTGGAGTGAGCCCTCTATCCCCTTTGCATTACTGGCCTCTGTATTAATTGCCCTCTGTTTAAATATAGTCCTTGCAGATTCAAAGTGAAAACTGAATGAAAAGTAATACATTTCTTGTGAAAGCTCTGATTTTTTCTACATTGGGCAATATTTGTAGTTCTATCCTGCGGCAGGAACTCCTGTTATTATATTTCCATATAAACAACTTACCGTATTTTTCACTCCATAAGACGCACTTTTTTCCCCCCAAAAGGAAGGGGAAAATGTGCCTGCGTCTTATGGAGCGAATCCCGACGCCCGAGACATGCAGTTTCGGGCGCCGGGCGAGTAGTAGGAGCCACTGTTTGTTTAATACGAGTGATCTAATGAGATCACTCGTATTAAAAACGAGCAGCGGCGACGATCGAGATCACCATAGAGCAGACGAAGAACGGACTTTCTTCGTCTGCTCTGTGTGATCACTGAGACCGTGGCGATGTAACCACAGCGCCACCTGTCTCAGCGGTCACTAACTGCAGCTTCTGTCACAGCTTCTGTCATAAAAGCTGTGACAGAAGCTACGGTCTGTCAAGTGCTCCATAAGGCGCGCCAGACCTCCCTGTGTCCTATGGTCCAGTGCGTCTTATGGAACGCAAAATACGGTATATTTAGACAGGTCGAGATAA